GGACGCAGCGTCGGGGACGGGACCCAGTGTCAAGGAGGGGAACCCGGGGACCGGCTGAGGCCAGAGAGCCGCGCGGCCGTCCTGTCCCGGGCGGGCAGCGTGTGCCCTCCCGCTACTCGGCGTGTTCAGGAAATCAGCCCCAGACGTTCCAAGGCTGCGGCCCGGGCTGGGGGCAGAGGCGGGGGGCGCAGGGCCCCCGCGCCTTCCCCCAGAGCGCCACATGAAAGTGCCGCCGATTGGGGCCGTATATCACGCGGCCGTGACACGAACATGTCCAGGGTCCGTCCGCGCGCCCTGTGTTCGATTAGCACCTCATCAGGGCCCCCCCACCCCCACCCCGACTGCGCCAACAGATGCCCGCGGGGCCCGGGGCGGGGCTTGCCGGCCCGCGGCGCACTCTGGGTCCCATTACCGGCAGATGCGGCTTAGTAGGTTGAGAGCGGCCAGGGCCGGAACGGGGTCATCTGTCAGCCGGGCCCAGAAACAAAGCCCGTCGGGGAAACACAGCTGGGGAGGAAGGTTCCAGAAAGGCCGGCGGGTGTGGCCGGAGAGGCGCGAGGAACCCGGGAAGGCGGGTGAGCCGGGCCGAGGCAGTGGCCGTCGTGTGCGCGTGGCCGATGGCTCCTGCACGGGATTGTCACCGAGTGTCTACTGGCTCACGCCTGCTCCGGGCGTGTCTGCAGGAGTTTGGCCAAGGCGGACGGGCCTCCCCGGTGCGGGTGGGCCTTGCCTTACCCGTCGAGGGCCGGCACAGAAGCAGATTCACTGCAGGGGACAATTACTCAGTGTCCCTGCCCGCTGGCCCTGCAGCTGGGGCGTGAGCGTCCTCCCGCTCCCGGACGGGGACTCAGCCATCGGTGGACCTGGACGTGCGGCGGCCCCACGGCGGGGCGAGGGCTTCGCGGTGTGTGACGTCACGGACACTCCGACTTCAGTAAACACGAGATGAGCACACCTGCGTCTACACCTGCCCCTGCGTCTACACCTGCGTCTACACCTGCACCTGCGTCTACACCTGCGTCTACACCTGCACCTGCGTCTACACCTGCTCCTGCGTCTACACCTACACCTGCCTCTACACCTGCACCTGTGTCTACACCTACATCTATACCCACACCTGTTTCTATACTTACCTGCACCTGCGTCTACACCCGTGTCTACACCTGCATCTGCACCTACACCTGCATTTACACCTACACCTGTATCTACACCTATGCCTGTGTCCACAGCTGTGTCTACACCTGCACCTGCATCTACACCTGCATCCACACCTGCGTCTACACCTATATCTGTACCTACACCTGTGTCTACACCTGCATCTACACCTGCGTCTACAGCTGCCCCTGCACCTACACCTGCGTCTACACCTGCCCCTACGTCTACACCTGCGTCTACACCTGCCCCTGCGTCTACACCTGCATCAACACCTACACCTGCACCTACACCTGCGTCTACACCTGCCCCTACGTCTACACCTGCGTCTACACCTGCACCTGCGTCTACATCTGCACCTGCGTCTACACCTGCCCCTACGTCTACATCTGCACCTGCGTTTACACCTGCGTCTACACCTGCACCTGCGTCTACACCTGCATCAACACCTGCCCCTGCGTCTACACCTGTGTCTATAGTGACACCTGTGTCCACAGCTGTGTCTACACCTGCACCTGCACCTGCGTCCACACCTGCGTCTACACCTATGGCTGTACCTACACCTGTGTCTACAGCTACATCTACACCCACACCTGTTTCTATACTTACCTACACCTGTGTCTACACCTGCATCTGCACCTGCACCTGCACCTGCGTCCACACCTGCGTCTACACCTGTATCTATAACTACAGCTGCATCCGTGTCTATACTTACAGCCACACCTGCGTCTATACTTACCTACGCCTGCGTCTACACCTGCGTCTACACCTACTTCTGTGTGTGCATACGGGTCGGTCACCTACTGGGTCCACGTGTCTGTAGATCCCAGGCTCACACGGGGTGTTGCTTGAGGGCAAGTCGGGAGGGTGTGGACAGGCGTGTCCGTGGGTCGGCCACGGTGCTGGGAGGGCAGCGGCACGGGTCGGGGCAGACGCCCCTGGTGGGCACATGGGGGGTCCGCCTGGGACCCCCCAGATTTCCTGGACAAGAGGAAACCCGGGGCCGGAGCCCGGGGTGGGGTGGGCGACGTCGGGGGGAGTCTGACGGAGGGTTTGGAAGCAGAGGTGCCCCTGGGGCGCCTGGGTGGCTCAGTTGGTTAAGCGGCCGACTTCGGCTCAGGTCACGATCTCGCGGTCCGTGAGTTCGAGCCCCGCGTCGGGCTCTGTGCTGACGGCTTGGAGCCTGGAGTCTGTTTCAGGTTCTGGGTCTCACTTTCTCTGACCCTCCCCCGTTCATGCTCTGTCTCTCTCTGTCTCAAAAATAAACGTTAAAAAAAATTAAAAAAAAAAAAAGATATTAAAAAAAAAAGCAGAGGTGCCCCGCGAGAAGGCCTGTGGCCTTCCAGCCACAAGGGCCACGGAGACCCGTCTTGCGGGCCGCGGGAGCCTCTTCGGATGCCGCGGGCCGTACGGATGCAGGACTGCTTTGCACACAAGCGGGTTTCTGGTTTTGCCCCAGACAGAGTGGTGCCCCGAGCGAGGGGCGTGGGGGGTTTTCTCAGGAGCTCGGCATCTCCCTGGGATCTGGGTGGGGTGGGGGGTGTGAGCCCACGGCCGCCGCCGTGGCTGGAAGTTTCTAGATCAGCGTCAGTGAGACAGAGTGACAAGGGGCATCCATTCGAAGCATGTGGAAACAACCCCGTGTTAACCTCTGCTCCCCAGAGGTTCCCTGCGAGACCCTGAAGGTTCAGACGCCGCTGTGCAGGGGTGAGGCTTTGCAGGTGGGCGGTCCCGAGACGGCATCTTTTCTGTGCTGGGTCTGCCTGGGGCGTTTGCTTGTCCGTCCACCAGGAGGAAACCAGGGCACGCGTGTCTTTGGGGACACTATTCTGTCTCCCACGGAAGCCGTGTCCTTCCACGTCTGCGAATAGAACCCAGGCAGCCCGTGTCCCGCCCCTGCAGCCGCGTGGCCCCCTGCACGAGTCTCGTGGGGTCCCAGGATTCTCCCGTCCGGTGCACTTCGAAGGAAGGAGATCCTACCCGCCTCCCCGGTGGATGCGGGCAGCTTCCCTGGGCTCCGTCCCCGCCTCCTCCGGGAGGCTTTTCCCTCGCAGACGCGGCCCACGGAGGGAGCACCGGAGCGAGGGCGGGGGCCACGGCCACCCCAGGCGGTCCCAGCCCCTTTGGAAGAACAAACCCAAGGGGAGCCTCACCACATGTGGTTCTGCGCAGGACGCACATCAAAGCGCCGTTCCCACGTCCTACAGGCGAATTCCAATGACTAACACATTTAGAGGCCGTATCCCGGTTAATCCCCAGGAGTGTGAGCGGGTAATTCCGTATTTATGACGCACAGGTAATTTCTGGTCTTACCTTCAAAAGGAATCCCAGACTCCGAGACAGGACGGAGTCGCTGACTCCTTCCAGGTAAAACGTTCTTCTGGCGCCCCATGGCGTGGACTGTGAAGGCTCAGGAGGGCGGTGTGCGTGTGGCCAGCGTCCCTCACACACACAGGGATGGCAGGTGGGGCTCCCCGAGGAGACACGGGATCCCGGCCACGTCCCCACCCTCGGTGCCTGACCTCCCCACCGGCCTCGGTGCACCCGTCCTGAGCATGGTCTGTTCCGGAGACCCGCGCCCTAAACCAGCCGGGACTCAGGACTCTGAACCGCCCGTGTGACTTTTCTGTATATCTAAGACTGACAACAGCGATTTTGTTTTTAAAGTTTGAACCTGGGGCGCCTCGGGGGGCTGGTTGCCTAAGCATCTGGCTCTTTCTGTAAAATTATGTTTTAATGTTCATTTATTTCGAGACAGACACACACACACACACACACAGAGCGAGCAGGGGAGGCACAGACAGACCTCTTTATCCATCCATCCGATTCAGACGATCTGAATCAGACTCCCCACTGTCAGCGCAGAGCCCGATGTGGGGCTTGAACTCACAAACCCTGAGCGGAAATCAGCAGTCGCATGCTGAGGTGCCCCAAGTGTCCAACTGTTGATTTCGGCTCAGGTCGTGATCTCGCGGTTTAGGAGATTGAGCCCGCGCTGAGTTCCACCCTAACAGTGCAGACCCTGCTTGGGATTCTCTCTCTCTCTCTCTCTCTCTCTCTCTCTCTCTCTCTCCCTCTCTCTGTCCCTCCCCGTGCTCATGTTCTGTCTCTGTCTCTCTCTCTAAATAAATAAATAAATAACATTAAAAAAATGTTTGACATCCAATGGCATGCCCGTTCACATATTATGGACATGCATTTTGTATGGTATGTGTGACACATTAATCCAATGGACACACGTGTGCATATGTGGGTTGCTTAACCGATTAGGTAGACTGAGTAAAGCAGGTGTCTAGTCTGAGGTGGGTGGGCCGCGTCTAATCAGTCGAAGGTCCGCATAACTCCAACAGGTGGCAGAAAGGAGAGCTTGTTCTCTCTTGCCTGACTGCTTCACTGGGAACGTCGGCTCTCTCTGATCACAGGACACGGGATTCGCAGCCTCCTTGATCCCGTGACCCAGTTCCTTGGGAAAAACCATGCCCCGTGTATGATGTTCTGTTTGTCTGGAGAGCCGGGAATCATACCACATATACGGATGCTGTAAACTAAACTTTGTGACACGTGTACGCAGGTGTCTGTGCACATACATGTGAAGCTTAGACAGAAGGCCTCGTATATCTACATATATGTATGTGCATATGTGTATGTCCTCGTGTGTCTACGTGTACACGTCATGCTTTAGAATGTGCATGAGCTACGAAGGATATGCTACGTGTGTCCATCGTCTGTCATCTGCCCGTCACCCGTTATCTGTCATCTACCATCTAGGCATCCATAAGTCATATCCATTATCTATCTATGACTCTTTCCATCCATCCATCCATCATATGTATCTATCTCTCTTTCTATCTATCTACCTATCTATCATCTATCTATTCATCCATCCACTCACTTCCCAAAGGTTTAAATAAATCCCCAAGTGACAGAACCACGGTCCACACCTGCCCCCTGGGCCCGTGTTAGGCGTGTGTCCAGTCTGACCCTTGAGGAAATCTGCAACCCCCCTCTGACACCCCCATCCACAAAGGACCCTGTGTCCTCGGCCATCTGGACCACCGGCCTTTCCCACATCCGTGTGGCTTTCTGCCGAGAGTCGTTTGCCCAGCACACACACACCTTGTAGATTTCAGTGGGGCGGTGGGGGGGGGGAGGGGGGCCGTGAACAGCTGGCGTGGGCAACAGTCCTGATATTTTCATTACTTTTTAAAGCGCGAAGACCCGCATGTGATATATAATGTGAGACGGGAACGGTGTTTGTCCCCCCCCTTTCTTCCCGGGGTCACACACTCCTCATCGACAGACGTCACCGCACAGAGGAAACACGGGGCCCCGCGTGTGGCTGGTCCGTTTCAGCCCTCCTCCGCCGTGTGCTCGCCACGTGTGTGGGGCGCTGGGCAGCCCCCCAGCCCCCGCGTCTGTCTGGGGGGGAGATGGTTCCCCCGGGGCCAGCGGTCAAGTGCTCATGGCTTGAAGTCGGTCCACCGTGGACGAGAAAGTCCAGCCTTCCTCCTGGCCTGTTCCAAGCAGAGGACGTATCAGCTTCCTTTCCTCTGTCTGTCTGAACTCGGGAGCTTTCACGGCAAAGGCACCAAAGAAGACGAAATTAAAGCAAAGCCCTGCCCCCTCTGTCTTCCCGAACCCAGAACACTCAGTCGCCTGCAGCTCGTAAAATGATGCCGGTCAGAGACACGGTCTCTTCTGTCCATGACCCCCCCACCCCCGTCTGGGAAGGCTGACCCCAGGGGGGACCAGCTGATCCAGGGGGCACCCCAAGGATCGTGTCCTGTGCTCAGAGTGTGGTTACCTCCTCCCCCCGTCACTCAGGATGGCATTCTGGTGCGGCTTCCCGGGGCTCGGACGGTCCTGTGTCCCCACCCCGCGCACAGAGTCCCCAGCAGCTGCTGGCCTGTGCGTCCTTGAGACGCCAGCTGGTGATGTATGCAGCTCTCCTCTTGCAGGACGGGAGGGAACCCGCGAGGAAGCGTGGAGCCTTCTGGAGACTCTCTCTGGCTGTGGTTGGCCCTGGGGGACAGAGAGGGGGTTCTCAGGTCACAGTGGATGCGGTGGGTGCTGCACTGGTCCCCCCAAGTGGCCACAACCTGATGCCCACATGGCAGACGGAATGACGTCCCCAGACATGTCCCCTTGTAACGGACACAAGAATGTTCCCAGAGATGCACGTCTTGATCCCTATAACTTCTGTGTGGCCTCATCCAGCACAAGGGACTGGTCACCTGTGGAACGCACGTTGTCACTGTGTGTTCATTGTGTCTCCAGCCTGTTTTGTAGCCGAGCTGAAAACCACCGGGATCCCCTGTGACCTGTTATTGAGGGTTGGGACAAGCGGGGACCCAGTCGCGGGGCCCAGAGGCCGGGAGGGGTGGGTTTGCTGAGTGCTGGGCTTCGCTGTGAGCAGGGCATCTGCCCCTGCACGGAGCCTTCTGCTTTTCTGCCTTTCCTGACAATGCACGGGACTGATGGGGACAAGCCCAATCCTGTGTTTGCATTTCCAGGAGGTCCTGCCCCAGCTGGCGGTCCACCGTGCTCCTGACTGTCCTGGGGAGTGAGCCTGGGTCCTTGGTGACCGTCCCCCAAGGGCTCCAGGACGCAGGATTCGAAGGCCACACAGAGAAGCCCGAACCCCCCAGCAGAGGGCATCACACGAACATACATGCGGCATCTGACGG